AACAACAACAACAACAACAAGGAGAAAAAAAGTAATCCAAGAGGACAAGAAGGTGAAGGTAGGGATTTTAAGTATGATCCACAAGTGACACACATCTTAAACCCAGGCCTTGAATTAAGGTTCTAAGAACACTAAAACAAATATAATTATACCAGGTTTAGGAGTTTCACTGAGTCATTTCCAGTTTGAGTCTAATGCAAAAGTCTATTTTAAAGCCCACATAAGCATTACAATAAGCACTGTCTTTACCACCTACCAATATTCTAATTTTTCTCAGTTATCTTTAGACAGTCTCTTCTGATCTACTAAATAACCTTTACAACATTAACTTTCTGCATCTTGGTCCTCAATCTTAAAATAAGATGTGCACTTTTAAAATACTTTAAATTTTTAAATATTATCAACACTGTGATGGTGTATTTTAATATTTTAATACAAAAATAATGACAAATATTCTATTATTTAATCAATACATATAAATATAAATATCCTATTTCTCTGACTGATAAATCAAAACCTATATTTAGATTCCAAGCTTTAGAAATACCAACCTGAGCTGTTTCTGTCATTTTCTGTTCAAAATCAGCTTTTGCTAATGCGTATTTTTCCACATAGAGTTTGTAGGTATCTGTAGCTTTTTTAGATTTAACAGCTGCCTGTAACAAAACAAAAACATTTTAACTTCACATTGACTTATTTTATTTCCTGCTATGTTAATATGAAATAATAAATTGAAATACCTTTTAAGAGAATGAAACCTATACACAGACCTATAACAATATTAGTTGTTATTAAGTGCCATCGAGTCAGTTCTGACTCATAGTGACCCTATTTAAGGTTTCCAAGAAGCAATTGGTGGGCTTGAACTGTCAACCTTGAGGTTAACAGTCCAGTGCTTATCCTACAACACCACACCAGGACTCCACAATTAAATATAGCATATAACTAACTTTAATACCTTCTGTCAAGTCCTCCCTAATCATTTGTTGTTGTTTTCAAGTGCCATGGAGTCAGTTCCGACTCATAGTG